ATTCACTTATCTATTGATTGGAAAGTGATTCTCTGTCATCGTATAAATCCACAGTATACTTGCATTCCCTTCTATGGAAAACATTGATTCTCTGTGATCGTATGAATCCACAGTATACTTTCATTCCCTTCTATGGAAAACATTTGGGATAGGGGATGAATTCTTTATAAGGCCTATGCTTTATGAAAACAAAATAAAGCTTCACTTAAAATCTTTGTTCGAAAGTACTTTCAGTAATGGAAATCGCCATGATGACTTTAAAATCAATTTTCAACAACGACAATAAAATTTGAAACTCAAAAAATGTCATTGATCTTGCAGATATGTGAATACTTATTTTTAGGACAAAATTGACAGTCTAGATAATTTGTTACAATATACACCATGTTTAGAACTTGAAATCCTATTTTTTCTCACAACCATAATGTTTAAGCTGAGATGATAGAGGTAAAGGTTTTTCAATACTTGAATTGCAAATTTTGATGAGTTATGCCGTGAGGTTTTACTTGTTTTGATAGGGCTACAGCCCTATCAAACTATTTTCCTTAAACAGTTATATTGTGGTTTGTATAAGACCGACGCCCTAAACAATCAAAGTAAGGCGCACCTTCAAATAGTATCGAAAGATATTGTTTAAGTACTAGCAATCTTTGTGATAACCTGCAAATTTGTTTTCATATCCAATTATAGAATTTAAAGTATTAAAAATAGTGTAGATCAAGAAAATGCATTACTTGATGCACTATTTTTTAAACTTGAAATCTATTGTTTCTCATGATGCACTATCTTGAGGTCGAGATGATCGATTTGAGGATCTTTGGATATCGAAACAACCTCTTCTAGTGAATTTTTGATATGCACATTAATTTCATAGATACGAGTGCAGTGATTGTACATGACGGAGAGTGTGACCGCAGATTTGTAGGACATATCGGCCACTCTCAAGCTCATCGAAACTCTCAAGCAAGGCATCAGAATCCACATATATTATTTTTCAGTTTCTTTTTCCTTATTTTTTAATCTTTTCCCTGTTTTAGCATTTTCTTTGCCAGGAATAATTTCTTGTTGCCCCAAGATCAAAACATGCCACTCTCAAGTTTTCGTGTGGCGTAAAACAAAGAAAATAATTTTTTGGTGAACAAGCATAGTATGCCCCTTATGCTTGGCTGTTTCATAAAATAAAAGAAAATTTTGAAAATAAAAATGATAAGGGTTACAATTTTGTCTTGATCTTCGTTTATTGAGAATGTTAAATCGTGTGACACTTGAAATGGCGCATAATTTACAAGTTAATTTGATATATCATGAGACAGCCTATATAAAGCATGTGCTTTACAATTGAAGCAATGGAGTTATTCTAATGCTCATTAAGGAATGCATTTTTTGTATCGAAAATCTTCAAATTGGTCATTTTGGCTTTGACAATTATGGATACGAAAAAAATGGATTTTAACATTGAATAATACTATATTTTATAGCAAATTGCTTTGATTATCTGTTTGTTGTATTTTGCTTTGAAAAATATCTTATGTTATTTTAAAATAATATTCCTTTTGCTCCATAATGATTTGAAAAGTATAATATTTTTGAAAAGTGTATTTTATCTTATTTGTAGAGAAAAGTAATTACTTATTTATCTGTGGGTGATAAAAATCTTACTTAAATATGTGAATATTTTCTTCACTTAGAAATTCCTTTTTTTTACAAACTAATTTGTCGCGTTTCACCCTCCATTTCGGATACTATTTGCAAAGAGATCCCCAATATCTACATTATCCCTCCATTTCTAACACTATTT